TGAAGATAGGATTGGTAAAGTAAAGAGTAGCCATCCAAGTATAATATAATTGTTAGAGGTAACGTCCATGACTTGTGCTGTTCCCAAAATACATTTTTCCTAGATTTCTTCTTTAATTGGACAGCTCCAGAAAGCTGTCGCTGGCTGCAAATGTAAAGTATGTCTGTGAAATAAAATAAAAAAAAGATATAGATATATATATATAGATCGATCGATATATATATATATATATATAATCCATTGATCGGCTTGTGCTGCAGTGAATGACAGCATGATCTTCTGGGTCTGCGAGCGCATCGGGAAGAAAGCCACGATGTACAGGTATGTGATTGTGCCTCTATGAGCCGACCTGCTGCAGTGAAAGTACTGCAGTGAGTTGGCAAGCAACCAAATGAATGAGCTGCTGTACCCACGTAATTACAGCGCAGAGAGCCACATATACAGTTGTGTTCAAAATAATAGCAGTCAGACATCACTAACCGGATCAATCACTGTTTTTGGTAGAAATGATATTTCTACATGGCAAATAATTTACTAGCAGGTGTAGTAGAGTAATAGAAATCCAACAGACCCAACAGTCATGACATGCATGCTGCTGATTCTGTGTCATTGAATCACTCATTGAAAGGGGCATGTTCAAAATAATAGCATTGTGGAGTTCTATTAGTGAGGTCATTCATTTTTTGAAAAACAGGTGGCAATTATTGCCCTTATTTAAGGAAGGAAGGCAGCAAATGTTGTACATGCTGGTTACAGTGCATTTCTCTCTGAAATTCTGAGGAAAATGGGTCGTTCCAGACATTGTTCAGAAGAACAGCGTACCTTGATTAAAAAGTTGATTGGAGAGGGGAAAACATATTAAGAAGTGCAGAAAATGATAGGCTGCTCAGCTAAAATGATCGCAAATGCTTTAAAATGGCAACCAAAACCTGAAAGACGTGGAAGAAAGAGAAAAACTACCATTGGAATGGATAGAAGAATAGCCAAAATGGCGCGGACTCAGCCAACAATCAGCTCCAGGAAGATGAAAGAAGGTGTAAAGTTCCCTGTGAGTACTGTTACAATTAGAAGACGCCTATGTGAAGCCAAGCTATCTGCAAGAAGCCCCCGCAAAGTCCCACTGTTGGAAAAAAGACGTGTGCTGAAGAGGTTACAATTTGCCAAAGAGCACACTGACTGGCCTAAAGAGAAATGGTGCAACATTTTGTGGACTGATGAAAGTAAGATTGTTCTTTTTGGGTCTAGTGGCCGGAGACAGTTTGTCAGACGACCCCCAAACACTGAATTCAATCCACAGTACACTGTGAAGACCGTGAAGCATGGTGGTGCAAGCATCATGATATGGGGATGTTTCTCATACTACGGTGTTGGGCCTATTTATCGCATACCAGGGATCATGGATCAGTTTGAATACATCAGAATACTTGAAGAGGTCATGCTGCCTTATGCTGAAGAGGAAATGCCCTTAAAATGGGTGTTCCAACAAGACAACGACCCCAAACACACCAGTAAACGTGCAACATCTTGGTTCCAGACCAACAAGATTGACGTTATGGAGTGGCCAGCCCAATCCCCGGATCTTAATCCAATAGAAAACTTGTGGGGTGACATCAAAAATGCAGTTTCTGAGGCAAAACCAAGAAATAGAGAAGAACTGTGGAATGTCGTCCAATCATCCTGGGCTGAAATACCTGATCACAGGTGCCAGAAGTTGGGTGACTCCATGCAACACAGATGTACAGCTGTTCAGAAACAGTGCGACTACAACCAAATATTCATTAAGTCATTCAAAGGAAAGCAAAATCTTCAAACATTTTTCAGTTTATATAGTGAATGTTTGAGTTTGTAAAGAAGAATACAAACACTGCTATTTTTTTGAACATCTAATATTCATTTTCTTCAATTTTTTTAGAGGAACAACACAAATTTGATCTATTTTTCTTCATGTTTTGATTTGGAATAGAATGTGTCGTGTTCCCAATGCATTTGTGTGGATTGAAATAAAAGCTATTAGAAGGATTTTCAGCTTTATTCACTTTTTTCAACACACTGTTATTATTGTGAACACAACTGTATGTGAATCCAGTCTTTGAATGATGTAGCATTAACAGTGTCCTTCACTGAGCACAATATGTGGAGCAGTGTCCACAAACTTTTGGCCATATAGTGTATGTGAGGGTTTCTTTTTATGAACTTGGAGCAATCAAAAAGTATCCAAAAAGTGACAGGTTCCCTTTGAGAAAGAAATATACTTCTTGTGAGTCCCTGTAAAAAAGAAAAAAAAAAAGTAAATTACAGTGGTGTGTGGCCTTGTTTGTCAAGGTTTTCTATAATCCTTGGTTCATTTAATATTTAAGCTGATTAAACTCATCCACCCTCCCCCAAATATTCTCCATAATGCCAGTAACTCATCTCAGGTTCGTGTCCTCTCACAGGTTCCATTCCTGCGGTCTCTTCTCCCCCATAGTTATGTTTTTACAATTACTTTTGTGGGAACTGTGGTCACGTAAAAATAGAGGATCCTGCTCAAATCACACATTTAATTAAATTTTAGAGCGATGAATAATTCCCAAGTCGACGGGTTACCAGTAAACCCTCTCCAATATGTAAAGAGTAGCTATTGTAGAGTCTGGGAAACAGTATGAGTTATACATTTTTTAAGTATCTACATTTAAATTGCTTAATGTGAACCTGTCATTACAAGAAAAATATTAACCCCTTCACGTCCTTGAACCATTTTAGCCACTTGTGCTTTAACTGACAGTTGCACGATCATGCAACACTGTACATAAATTAAACTTATATAGTTTTTTTTCACACAAATAGAGCTTTCTTTTGGTAGTATTAGATCACCACTGGGGTTTTTTGTGCTATAAACAAAATCAGATTTTTTAAAATAAATACATAAATATTTAAACTTTTTGCTATAAAACTTATCCAAAAAAAAGTCTTAATAAATTTAGGCCAAAATGTATTCTGCTACATTTCTTTGACAAAAACAATCCCAATAATTGTATATTAATTTGTTTGCATGAAAATTATAGCATCTATAAATAATAGTATAGATACTGGAATTTATTTATTTATTTTTTAATACGAGTATTAGTGATCAGGGACCAAGATAGTACAGCATTCTGACACTGGGTGGGAACTGACTAAATGATGCTGACATCTCCAGTGACACTAATACAGTGATCAGAGCTAATAAAAAGCACTGGCACTATACTAATGACACTGGGCAGGAAGGGGTTATCATCAAAGGTAACTGTGTGTTAGCAGGTGTGATATTTGTGTACTGTTTTACTAGGGGAGATACCGGTTTTTATTCCCTGCTTTTAGGGAGATAAAAACCAGCACATCCCCACTGACAGGAGAGAGATCTGTGTTCTTTACATTCCTGTCTCTCCTGTCAGTTGCTGCACTGATCATGGCCAATCATCAGCTATTCGTGGCTGGAACCCAGTGATTGACATGTACAGGAGCCAATGACTGCACGAGCTGGCGGAGGCACGTGTGCCTCTTACCTGAAAATTTAGAATCGTGTATATATAGAGCTGCTATAGGGCAGCCAGGGAGTGATTAAAACATAAACTCAAGGCTATAGCTATGAGCTTGGTGTAATTTTTTTTTTTTTTCAGCTGGCGATTGTTCAGTAAAAGTGATCCAGGTGGATCTACAGCTGCCTGATCACTTTTACAGTAGTGAGAAGGGCTGCCCCCAGCCACTCCTCCCATGTCACTGCCTGCAGTGGTTTTTGGGCTCACCTGGTTTCTCCAAGGAGCATGGGACCATGATAAACTGGCCAGACAGTAGGAGGAGATCAAGGAACATCTGTTCCCTGATCTTCTCTGTGATTAATTAACCTAGAAGCAACAAGCTTTTTGTCACTTCAGGTTTCAGAGCTGTCATTTTCTGGCTACCATAGTGGGGAAAGTGGCTAATCAAGCACAATCTGTGCATGATTAGCTGCAATTGAAGACGGGACATTGGGGGGCCTTTTGTATAAAGAAAATGTTGTAGTCTTGCACTAGGGAATCACTTCCCATCCTTTATTTTTGAGAGTTGTTCTGGTACTGGCTTTGCGGAGGGGACACACTTGCTGGTGGGAGGCTTTAACCCCTCCAAGTACTGAATGACCATTTGTAACTGTAATGGTCATTAGGATCCGATAAGGAGCTGGAGTGTGTTCATGCAGCTTGGGTGCACGGCACACAGATTTGTTTGAAGCGCACGGGTATTCTTTTGAGTTTGTGAAGATTTTCGTTTATTATGCGTTTATCACATATGTGGAATAAGTGAGAATCTAATGGACTAATTTTCTAATTTTTGGACATTTTTTTTCTCTTCATACTTTTCATTTATATATTTTAATTTTTCATATTTTCATTTTGATGTATATATTTTCTTTTCAACAATTTTGTATTAACCCTAGTTCACACTTGTATGGACTGTGCGGCACGCGTTTGCACAAGCACGGCAGCCCATTCATTTGAACGGGCTGCCATGCCTGCATTTCCTGCAAAAAAGATGGTGCTTGCACCCTTTTAAAAACGCAGCTGCAGGGAAACCGAATGGTGCTTTTGACCATGTGATTTCCCTGTGGTTCCCACAAACTTGCTGCAGGTTGAGATGTGTGGGGTACCATTAAGAATGAGTGGCAGCCCCACACATCTCTGCAGAGCAGATTTGGTTGCGAGTGCCGGAAAACAGGTGCGATTTTTTTTTTTTTGGGGGTTTTTTTTTTTTCCACCCACAACCACCCGCTCACATTGCAGGCAAGTGTGAGCCTAGAATAAAAGGGTTTAGTGCTGTACTTGCTTTTTTATATATAAATAGAATATCAACACATACACAGGGCATTTGCCAAGCTTCATTAACCACCTTCCACCCGCCATATAGTACGACGGGCGCAAGGTAGTTCTCTCGTTCTGATAGGACGTCATATGACGTCCTTCCATTCTCACTGTGCATGCGCGGCTCAGGGAGCGAGCAGCGCGGCGATCGCCGGTGCGCTGTGTCCCGCGGATCACGGAAAGAGCCGAAGATGTCAGTTCGGTCATGTGATCAGCTGTGTCCAATCACAGCTGACCAAATGTAAACACGGAACTGCCGGTTATCTGCATTTCTCTCCTCTCGAGCTGTCACGCTGACAGAGGAGAGAAGAGGAGAGCCGGTAATCTGCTTTCTGCGGAGGGGACATGTACACTGATCATCAGGGCACTAATGATCAGTGTGCCCTGATGATCAGTGTGGCTCCAGAAGTGCCACCTGTCAGTGTCCATCAGTGCCACGTGCCAGTGCCCATCAGTGCCACATCAATGCCACATATCAGTGCATACCAGTGCCCATCAATGCCACATATCAGTGCCCATCTGAGCTACCTTTCTATGTCACCCATCAGTGCCACCTATCAGTGCCAGTCAGTGCCGCCTATCAATGCGAATCAGTGCCATATATCAGTGTCATGTATCAGTGCTGCCTTTCAGTGCCCATCAGTGATGCCTGTTAATGCCCATCAGTGCAACCTACCAGTGCCTCCTCATCAGTGTCCATCAGTGCCACCTATCAGTGTCCATCAGTGCAGCCTTTTTAGCACACATCAGTGAAGGAGAAAAATCACTTATTTACAAAATTGTGTAACAAAAACTAAGAAAAAACCTTTTTTTTTTTTTCAAAATTTTCAGTGGTTTTTGGTTTGTTTAAGAAAAAATAAAAATCCCAGAGGTGATTAAATACCACCAAAATAAAGCTCTATCTGTCTAAAAAAATTATAAAAATTTCATATGGGTACAGTGTTGCATGAACGCGTAATTGTCATTCAAAGTGTGACAGCGCTGGAAATTGGCCTCGGCAGGAATGTGGTATAAGTGCCCTGTAGGCTAGTGGTTAAAGCTTCAAAAAAAAGCATCACTGAAGCATCAAAAAAGCATCTTGTAGCAGTAGGTGCTTTAAAGTAGAGCTCCACCCAAAAGGGGAAGTTCCGCTTTAAGGACTGCTCCCCATTAAGGCTTGGCACCTTTTGGGGGGTGGGGGGAGTGGGTCCCCGAATTTGACAGGTTCCCGCTTCCAGTCCGATCGCCTAGGTGATCGGAAACGGAAGGTGTCCTCCCTCCCTCCCTGTAGTCTTCTGGGACACGTGACAGGTCCCAAAAGACTACAGGACCATTCTTGAAGCGCAGCATTACTCGCACATGTGCAGTGGGTACCCGGCTGTCAAGCTGCAAGCTGTCCAGCCGGGTGCCCACACTGAAGATGCCGGCCTCCTGGAATACAGGACAGCCGGTGAAACTGGCTGTGGGGGGGACACACCACGGGACTGAGGGACAGGTAAGTGGCTGTTTTTTAAAAGTCAGCAGCTACAGTTTTTGTCGCTGCTGACTTTTTTTTTTTTGACAGCGTGAGTGGAACTCCGCTTTAATGTGGGTTAAAGTCAAAGAACATGTAAATGAGCCCTTAGAACCACTTTAACAAAACCACAATAAAATGTTCTATTGCAATGGAGCACTTTTTAGAATCGTGGTAAATGCTGAAGCCACAGCATCCATTATTTGTCAAACACATGCTATACCAAGGTGCACAGGTACCATTTAAAAACAGTGCAGAATCCTGGATTTACCCTCCGGTTACTTCAATCCCAACTTTGAAAAGTCGGGTGAGATGTCGATTTCAAGTGCGATTTGCAAGACAAATGACACAGATGTCTATGCGAATTTCACCAAAAGTAGTACATGTACGATTTTAGAAATCGGTGCGGCTTCGACCAAGTTGGAACCGAACTGATTTGACCGCTCTATTTGTGGACAATAGGGTGCGCCTTGGCATACGATTTACAAGTCGCATGGCATGCCAAGTCGCACCCGATGTGACCGGGGTGTTAGGCACACAATGATGTTTGCCAGATGCAAGAAGGTACCCAAAAAATGAAGCCTAAGAGCCCAATCACACTGAATGCAACCTTGAAATCACGCTACTTCACTTGTACCTCCGATTTCACGGTGGCTTGCAACTTAATTTAGCAGACGTCAATGTAAGCAATGAAACTTGGAAAAAAAGTACTGCAGGAACTATTTTTGAAATCACATTACTTCAGATCGCACTGATTAAGACCATGCCATAGAAATACATTAGATACGACTTCAGGTGTGATTCGCATGTCGCACCTGAAGTCACACCGGTGTGAACCAGGGCTAACAGTGGAGACTTGTGGTTCCCCCATTCAGGAGATCATGCGGTTATCCCCTTGTTTTTATACATATTGATATTTGCAGCACTCGGACACCGCAGTTACTCTTTTCTTGTCCCACAGCACGTCACATGTAGTATTTTATTTATTTTAGGTACTTATATAGCGCCGTCAATTTACGCAGCGCTTTACATATATATTGTACATTCACATCAGTCCCTAACCCACAAGGGGTGTACAATCTAAGGTCCCTGACTCACATTCATACATACACATACTAGGGCCAATTTAGACAGGATCCAATTCACCTACCAGCATGTTTTTGGAGTGTGGGAGGAAACCGGAGTACGCAGAGGAATCCCACGCAGACACAGGGAGAACATGCAAACTCCAGGCAGGTGTTGCCGTGGTTGGGATTTGAACCAACGACCCTACTACTGCCAGGCGGAAGTGCTAACCATTTAGCCACTGTGCAACAATACAGTGGTACCTCGGTTTATGAACAACTCGGTTAATGTAATTTTCGGTTTACGAATGAAAATCCATTGAAAATAATGCCTCGGTTTACAATATGAAGCAAGTTCCCCAGGATGCATTGCACCTGGGAGGTTTATAGTACCGCCCCCGTCCATGCTGGAGTCTGTGGGTAGCACGTGGCGTCGAGTGTGGAGGTGTTTTTCAATGCATTCCTATGGGAAACCGCATTCCGGTTTACGAATTTTTCACAATACGAGACATCCTGGAGAACGCATTAAATTTGTAAATCGAGGTACCACTGTAAATATATATTGTTAGCCAACACGGTTTTGCACAGTACAGCCTATTGTATGTAAAATGCGTGTTATCTTCAATCTAAATTTCAATTAAAGGAATCTATTGCAAGTCAATACTATCATGATCCTTAAATCAGATATGCTCTCTGATTTTACCCTGATATTGAAGCCCACCTCTAGCTGAAAAAAAACAAAAACGTAAGTGCCCCCTAACCTCACCCCCACCCATACGGGCAAGCAGATACACTGACAGCTCTGCAGGAGACCTGCATGGCACCATCGTTCTGCTGATCACTGGTTCAATGGATTCCAGGCTCCTGCAACAAAAAAATAATAAATGCACATTTTTTTTACCTGCAGAAAAATGTGCATTTATTATTTTTTTTTGTCAGGGTGAACTTCTCCTTTAATGCCTGTTAAGTCAAGGGGGTTGTGGATGATGCTGTTGTGATCAGATGTTACCTATCTTCATGCTTCAGCAGGCTCCCGTGATCTGCTTGAGCATTTCTTCCCCCAAAGCAGCCTCACTTCTACGCCGCACTCTCAAGCTTGGCCTTTCCAAAGCTTGGCTTTAAAGGTAAAACAATTGTCAGAGATTTTTCTTAAGCTGTTGTTTTTCTGTAATGGGGAGGCACTATTGATTAGAGAGTGCCTGTTTGAATTGTGGATTAGGATCATGATAATAGTGGTGAGTGGGAAATAAAGTGGTATTAAACACAAAAGCAAAAATGTATTATATTATTATTATTATATAGTATTTATATAGCGCCAAAGGGTTTGCTCAGCGCTGTACAATAGCAGGGGGACAGAACATGGGACAGAAACAACACAATACACGAGGGGTTCGAGGACCCTGCTCTTTCGAGCTTACAATCTAGGAGGGAGGGGAAGTGGAACAAGAGGAAATGGCTGTGGGGGATGGAGTGGTAGGAAGAGTGGAGGAGGTCAGTTGTTAGGTGAGGGTGGGGTAGGCCTCCCTGAAGAGGTGGGTCTTCAGGGTGCGCCTGAAGGTGATGAGGGTAGGTGACAGTCTAATGGACTGGGGTAGGAAATTCCAGAGGATGGGGGAAGTCCTGGAGAAATCCTGCAATCGGGCGTGGGAGGAGACCAGGGAGCTAGAGAGTAGGAGGTCCTGTGAGGAGCAAAGGGCACGGGTAGGGTGGTGTTTAGGTATCAGGTCGGTTAGGTAGTTTGGGGCGGCGTTGTGAATGGCTTTGTAGGTTAGGGTTAGCAGTTTGAATTTGATGCGTTGGGCAATTGGGAGCCAGTGAAGGGATTGGCAGAGGGGGGGGTCTTAGATGTGATGTCTGTGTTAGTTTTCTTTTTAAGGCTTTTTTTATTTTTCACCTGGTGATCCTGCCAGTAAATCTGTTGTTTTTCAACAGCCTGTCCTGCAGATGCAGCAGTTAGAGGATTGAGGTAAACCATTGCTTACAATGATCAGCTTTTATTTAAACTATTTATCCCAAAAGGAAAAAAAAGTGCTGTAACAGTTTATAAAGTATTAGCTGGAATTTGGCTTTTAATTAAAACTAATCTCCGCCTTTCTACATACTTTACTTAGTTCGTTTGGGCCAGCTTGGCACAAGGAACTACGTTGCGTACTAACCTGTGATGCTGCTGGATGCGCGGTATAAACTGTATGTTTCTGCGGCTACATTCAGCATACTGCACTGTTCCAGGTTACAGCCGAGACTTCCAATCTTGGACCCGGAACACAGTAGAGTCTTAACACAGTGGCGTTCAGCCATTCAGAATAAGTGATGTAGTCCTTCAGTAAATACAAAGCTTCCTCTGAATCAGAGAGACGGGCTGATGATGTCACATCCTTTGTCAATCAGAGGAGGCTTTGTATTCATTGATAGAATGCATTGCTTACTCTGATTGGCTGAGTGTCGCTGTGATAGACTCTGATAGATACTGTTTTCCGGGTCTAAGACTGGAGGTCTGGCCTCGAACCCAGAACACAGTGCGGCATGCTGTATGTAGCTGCAGCTACATACAGTTTTTATACCGCACATCCAGCAGTCTCTCAGATTAGTGGGGAACATATTTTGTTTAGGCCAAGCTGGCCCAAACAGACTATGTAAAGTTTTATATAGAAAGGTGGAGATTACCTTTTAAGGGGCTGTAAAGGCTCAAGGTTTTTTTCACCTTGATGTATTCTATGCATGAAGGTAAAAAACCACCTTTGTGCAGCATCCCCCCCAGCCCCCCTAATACTCAAGTCCCCTTTCCAGTGATGTTCACTGAAGTCTCGGTTATCTCATGACTCCCTCTCCTCATTGGCTGAGACAGCAGCGGGAGCCATTGGCCTTCTTTGTGCAGCAGTCTCCCCAGCCCCCCCAACACTTACCTGAGCCCCATCCAGTAATCCAGTTCTTTTTTTGTCCCGGGTCTCTGTCTCCTCATTAGCTGAGACAGCAGAAGGAGCCATTGGCTCTCACTGCTGTCAATCACAGCCAGTGTGAGAAGAGAGAGGGGGCGAGGCCAAGCCACTGCTCCGTGTGTGAATAGACACAGAGCAGCGGGTGCCCCATAGCAAGTTGCTTGCTGTGGGGTCATCCGACAGGAGGGAGGGGCCAGGAGAGCTTGCGGGGGACCCGAGAAGAGGAGGACCTTGGTTGCTCTGTGCAAAACCACTTCACACAGCAGGTAAGTATAGACGTGTTTATTTTTTAAAAAAAAAAATTATAAGCCTTTAGTATCACTTTAACCTCCCTGGTGGTATTCCCGAGTGTAGCTCGGGGTAAAGTTTCAGTACCACAAGAGGTAACCCCGAGCTACACTCGGACTTACCATGCAGCGCTGCTCCGGGATCTGTTCTTCTCTTACCTTGTTATGTGCTCCTGCGATGTCCCTCCTGCAGTGTCCCCTGTAATGTCCTCCGGCAGATGCCGGCATATGTCTCCTGGGTTCCTTCCCCTGCAACGTCGGGACGTACCGGGACGGAACTGGCGGGAAATTTGAAAATGACAAAAAATGACATTCACTAAATACACTAAAATCAAACCATTTCACATACATTTTGTCCCGAGTGCTTTGTCCTGTGCCCTGTCTGCATTTTTACTGTTCTTTCTACCTGGAAACTGAGGAATGTCCATGGTGTCCAAAAAGCATCCCTTTAGGTCAAAATCGGTTTTAGACCGCCTAGAGAACAGCGATAGTAAATTAGAACCACTTGCAGAATTGAGTGATAATGATTCGTGGGGGAAATTCCTCATCAGACACTGAAAATGATTTTGCGACTTTGCTCAGCGATGTGCGAACTTGGCGCTATATTTCACATTTCAGTGTTTTTGGTTTGATTATATTATTGAATTAAATTGATTATTATTATTACATTATTATTTTTTATGATTATTTATGATTTCATGTTTCAAATTTTATCATACCCGGGGTGTTTACTAGACTCTTGTTCGGACAGATTTCAGTGAGTTATTCCTAAAAAAATTACAGGCCTACAATAAAAAAAAAAACATATTTCCATGCAAAAAAATTTACCGCTTTGAACACAGAAATATGGACATAATCAGACTGCTAGGGAGGTTAAGTGTATCTAAATCTGCTAGTACATCTAACACTCAGACTATCATTGCTACTGTCCAAGGGGGTCCCTGTTGCTCCGTCATCCAGAGTGGGGGCACTTTAATACAGGAGGTGTGTTACTGGCCAGAGCACCAGGTGAAACCAGAGGAAAAAAAAGACTAAAAAGAGAAAACTATTGCAGCCACCACATCCAGTAATTGACAAGCTGCAATATATTACATGTTTGGTTTTGAGTCTAATACTGCATTGTGTGGAATTTGGACAGAAGAGATCAGATTTTTTTTTTTCTTTTTTCCCATATATAGTATATTGTTCTGTATGAAAAACCAAGTTGGAAAGGAATATATATTTGATTATATATTGCTGTGGAATGTGAAGGAAAGTAATTGGTGCTTCGGAGATTTTTTGTGTATACTTTTAAACTGGGGTGAATTTCTGTCTGAACGAATAATTGTGGCAGCCATAGGTGTAAGGGATTAGAGCTATGAAGACTGGGGGGTGTTTATAGCTGGTTTGGATTTCTTTTTATATCATATGCCCCAGTTTTACTATATTGCTCTGATTTTTACCTCCTTCATTTCTTCTTGCAGGTAAAACTAGGCCCGTGGCTTCAACCACCACAGTCAGCTCCGGGGATGTCCCACTCAGCTCTATCCTTCAGGTCAGTCACCCGTCTCAGCACCACCAGCTTCAGAGCTCGCAGTCCTCACGTACTGTGCTGCAGCACATCACCCAGTCCCAGAGTGCAGCACAGGCGTCTGTTGTGGTAAAAATCCATCCCCACATCCTCCAGCGGGGCCATCACTCACATCATGCAGCAGGTATGTACTCACAGCACAGGGCGGATCATACTGGGCACTTTTTTAAAAAGTGAAACTTCTTGAAAGAGAACCCCCTTCAGGTGATCTGTACACATTGATTGATTGGATTTTAGTCTGTTTTATTACCGATTCTTACCTGATTCCTATTTGTAGATATTTATGTAGGCCTTGTCAGCTCTTTATAAAACTGGCTGTTATGTGCAGATCCTGTTTTTGATATAAATAGCTGAGCAGGCTCAGTGTTGTCATATGGATACCTGCAGATCCTGTTTTTGATATAAATACCTGAGCAGGCTCAGTGTTGTCATATGGATACCTGCAGATCCTGTTTTTGATATAAATACCTGAGCAGGCTCAGTGTTGTCATATGGATACCTGCAGATCCTGTTTTTGATATAAATACCCGAGCAGGCTCAGTGTTGTCATATGGATACCTGCAGATCCTGTTTTTGATATAAATACCTGAGCAGGCTCAGTGTTGTCATATGGATACCTGCAGATCCTGTTTTTGATATAAATAGCTGAGCAGGCTCAGTGTTGTCATATGGATACCTGCAGATCCTGTTTTTGATATAAATACCTGAGCAGGATCATTGTTGTCATATGGATACCTGCAGATCCTGTTTTTGATATAAATACCTGAGCAGGCTCAGTGTTGTCATATGGATACCTGCAGATCCTGTTTTTGATATAAATACCTGAGCAGGCTCAGTGTCGTCATATGGATACCTGCAGATCCTGTTTTTGATATAAATACCTGAGCAGGATCATTGTTGTGATATGGATACCTGCAGATCCTGTTTTTGATATAAATACCTGAGCAGGATCATTGTTGTGATATGGATACCTGCAGATCCTGTTTTTGATATAAATACCCGAGCAGGCTCAGTGTTGTCATATGGATACCTGCAGGTCCTGTTTTTGATATAAATAGTCGAGCAGGCTCAGTGTTGTTATATGGATACCTGCAGGTCCTGTTTTTGATATAAATAGCTGAGCAGGCTCAGTGTTGTCATATGGATACCTGCAGATTCTGTTTTCGATATAAATACCCGAGCAGGCTCAGTGTCGTCATATGGATACCTGCCGATCCTGTTTTTGATATAAATAGCTGAGCAGGCTCAGTGTTGTTATATGGATACCTGCAGATCCTGTTTTCGATATAAATACCCGAGCAGGCTCAGTGTCGTCATATGGATACCTGCCGATCCTGTTTTTGATATAAATAGCTGAGCAGGCTCAGTGTTGTTATATGGATACCTGCAGATCCTGTTTCAGCACAGAGGCTTATCTATACTTCGCTCTATGTTTCACGGTTCCAGCCAACCCCCACCAACTCCCAAAAGCAGGATTTTGTCACCAGGTGACAGCCAATGATTCATGCCTGGGACCTCTTGATTGGCTGTGTCCAATCACAGTTCAGAGCCCTGTGTTGAGTTCTGTACAGAGAGGACAATCTTTGTTCTCCCTGCACAGCAGGGGGAAAGAAAGTGGCCTTTTAGTAAAAAGCAGTACACATTACACACATTTAACATTTGGTAGGCGCACAGTGTACCCCTTGATTACCCAGAGAGGATAACCCCTTCCCAGCCAGTGTCATTAGTACAAGTGACAAGTGTATAGTATTAACACTGATCACTGTATTGGTGTCACTGGTGATATCCGTTTCAGTTAGTCTGCCTCCCAGTCAGTGTCAAATTGCCTGCCACACTATCTGTCCCACCATAAGTCGCTGTTCACCGCCATTACTAGTATAAAAAAAATAATAATTAAAAATTCCAGTATACAGTTGTGTTCAAAATAATAGCAGTGTGTTGAAAAAAGTGAATAAAGCTCAAAATCCTTCTAATAGCTTTTATTTCCATCCACACAAATGCATTGGGAACACTACACATTCTATTCCAAATCAAAACATGAAGAAAAATATATCAAATATGTGTTGTTCCTCTAAAAAAATTTAAGAAAAGTGAATATTAGACTGTTCAAAAAAATAGCAGTGTTTGTATTCTTCTTTACAAACTCAAACATTCACTATATAAACTGAAAAATGTTTGAAGATTTTGCTTTCCTTTGAATCACTTAATGAATATTTGGTTGTAGTCGCACTGTTTCTGAGAACTGCTGTACATCTGTGTTGCATGGAGTCACCCAACTTCTGGCACCTGTGATCAGGTATTCCAGCCCAGGATGATTGGACTACATTCCACAGTTCTTCTCTATTTCTTGGTTTTGCCTCAGAAACTGCATTTTTGATGTCACCCCACAAGTTTTCTATTGGATTAAGATCCGGGGATTGGGCTGGCCACTCCATAACGTCAATCTTGTTGGTCTGGAACCAAGATGTTGCACGTTTACTGGTGTGTTTGGGGTCGTTGTCTTGTTGGAACACCCATTTCAAGGGCATTTCCTCTTCAGCAGCATAAGGCAGCATGACCTCTTCAAGTATTCTGATGTATTCAAACTGATCCATGATCTCTGGTATGCGATAAATAGGCCCAACACCGTAGTATGAGAAACATCCCCATATCATGATGCTTGCACCACCATGCTTCACTGTCTTCACAGTGTACTGTGGCTTGAATTCAGTGTTTGGGGGTCGTCTGACAAACTGTCTCCGGCCACTAGACCCAAAAAGAACAATCTTACTTTCATCACTCCACAAAATGTTGTGCCATTTCTCTTTAGGCCAGTCAATGTGCTCTTTGGCAAATTGTAACCTCTTCAGCACATGTCTTTTTTCCAACAGTGGGACTTTGCGGGGGCTTCTTGCAGATAGCTTGGCTTCACATAGGCGTCTTCTAATTGTAACAGTCCTCACAGGGAACTTTACACCTTCTTTCATCTTCCTGGAGCTGATTGTTGGCTGAGTCCTTGCCATTTTGGCTATTCTTCTATCGATTCGAATGGTAGTTTTTCTCTTTCTTCCACATCTTTCAGGTTTTGGTTGCCATTTTAAAGTATTTGCGATCATTTTAGCTGAGCAACCTATCATTTTCTGCACTTCTTTATATGTTTTCCCCTCTCCAATCAACCTTTTAATCAAGGTACGCTGTTCTTCTAAACAATGTCTGGAACGACCCATTTTCCTCAGAATTTCAGAGAGAAATGCACTGTAACCAGCATGTACAACATTTGCTGCCTTCCTTCCTTAAATAAGGGCAATAATTGCCACCTGTTTTTCAAAGAATGAATGACCTCACTAATAGAACTCCACACTGCTATTATTTTGAACATGCCCCTTTCAATGAGTGATTCAATTACACAGAATCAGCAGCATGCATGTCATGACTGTTGGGTCTGTTGGATTTCTATTACTCTACTACACCTGCTAGTAAATTATTTGCCATGTAGAAATATCATTTCTACCAAAAAAAAAGTGATTGATCAGGTTAGTGATGTCTGACTGCTATTATTTGGAACACAACTGTATATACCATAGTTTGTAAACTTTCACACAAACCAATCAATATACACTTACTGGGATTTTTTTTTTTGACCATTCAATTACCAGTTAAAGTAGCGCAGTGCTCAATTACCAGTTAAAGTAGAGCAGTGCTGAATAGCAAATAAAATGGCCTGGTCATGAAGGGGGTAAAATCTCAAGTGGTTAATCTATTGTACGAGCCCACAATAAAATGTAATTTAAAGTGCAGGCTTTAGCTATGCATACTTTCAGTATTGGGTGGAGTCATGCACCTCTAGCTCTTGGTCTGGCATGTGTTCCAACAACTCTTATTCATATGTCCTGCAGGCGTTAAGCAGTCACACAGCCTTCAAAAGAACGGAGGAGACTGTGACCGAAGAGGGTGAAGTGGAGGAGATGGACACCTTAGACCCGCAGACCGGCCTCTTCTACAGATCAGCCTTGGCACACAAGCAGCAGAAACAGATTCACCTGCACCAGGAGGGGGCGCACCTTCAGTTGAAGACTGTTCAGTCTCTGCAGACCAAACAGAAGCAGATCATTCAGCTGCAGCCAGAGCAGCTCCAGCACAAAATCCAGCAAACGGCGCAGCTCTCCATCAGGCAGCAGAAATTGACGCCCATTCAACAGGAACAGGTCCACCAGCATACACAGCGCCACATGCTGGTCAAGGAAAGGCACATCCCTTCACTGGTGTCTCAGCCGCAGCAGACAGTGGTGCAGGTTCTGGCTGTGAAAACCACCCAGCAGCTGCCGAAGCTCCAGCAGGTAGTGGGCCAGCAGAAGATCTACATGCAGTCTCAGCTATCTCAGACTTCAGTGCAGCTGCCTGTCACATCTGAAAAATTGACGGCCAGTCAGGTAAGTGTTCTGTTTTGTCCCTCAGGGGGTTCCTAGTCTAATTTTTTACTTGTCTCTCCATACTTTTTTTTTTTTTTTTTGTCCAGTCTTTGGATACAAAGAATATGTTCTGCAGTAGTGTAATTGTTTGCTAATTGTGGAAGTCCTTTGGGGCTATGTCCCTCTAATCTTCAGCAATCAATCCTGAAAACCTACCGGTGCACTGTGTAAATTCCACTCCTTACTATTGAGAAGACCTGTCACCCCTTCTGGTCTCCTCACTGAACCCAACTGAGAGCTTGTTCTCACCACATTTTCAGTGCATTCCAGTGCATTTTTCCCCTTTTTTCTTTTTGATACTTTATTTTCATTAATACAATGTGTGTTCCGGAGTGTTTACACTCACTTTGTTGCATTCTGAACAAAAATAAATACAGAAGGTTGAACGCACTGGATCTGTCCGCACTGGTGGAATACTAGGGGGAGTACAATTGGGGGAATCAATGGTGAAGAAGGATCTGGGGGTTCTGGTAGACCACAAGCTTAATAATGGCATGCAATGCCAAGCTGCGGGTTCTAAAGCGAGCAAAATCCTCTCTTGTATTAAAAGAGGTATAGACTCCAGAGAGAGAGATATCATATTACCCCGGTACAAATCATTAGTAAGACCTCATCTGGAATATGCAGTTCAGTTTTGGGCACCAATTCACAAAAAGAACATTGGGGAACTGGAGAAAGTACAGAGAAGGGCAACCAAACTGATAAGAGGCATGGAGGAGCTCAGCTATGAGGAAAGATTAGAGGAACTGAATGTATTCTCTCTTGAGAAGAGGAGATTAAAGGGGGATATGATCACCATGTATAATACATAAGGGGGGATATGATCAACCATGTATAATACATAAGGGGGATATGATCACCATGTATAATACATAAGGGGGATATGATCACCATGTATAATACATAAGGGGGGATATGATCACCATGTATAATACATAAGGGGGGATATGATCTCCATGTATAATACATAAGGGGGGATATGATCTCCATGTATAATACATAAGGGGGGATATGATCTCCATGTATAATACATAAGGGGGATATGATCTCCATGTATAATACATAAGGGGGATATGACCTCTCCATGTATAATACATAAGGGGGGATATGATCTCCATGTGTAATACATAAGGGGGATATGATCACCATGTATAATACATAAGGGGGGATATGATCACCATGTATAATACATAAGGAGGGGATATGATCACCATGTATAATACATAAGGGGGGATATGATCTCCATGTATAATACATAAGGGGGATATGATCTCCATGTATAAATACATAAGGGGGATATGATCTCCATGTATAATACATAAGGGGGATATGATCTCCATGTATAATACATAAGGGGGATATGATCTCCATGTGTAATACATAAGGGGGGATATGATCACCATGTATAATACATAAGGGGGGATATGACTCCATGTATAATACATAAGGGGGGATATGATCTCCATGTATAATACATAAGGGGGGATATGATCTCCATGTATAATACATAAGGGGGGATATGATCACCATGTATAATACATGAGGGGGATATGATCACCATGTATAATACATAAGGGGGGATATGATCTCCATGTATAATACATAAGGGGGATATGATCTCCATGTATAATACATAAGGGGGGATATGATCTCCATGTATAATACATAAGGGGGGATATGATCTCCATGTATAATACATAAGGGGGGGATATGATCTCTATGTATAATACATAAGGGGGATATGATCTCCATGTATACTACATAAGGGGGGGTATGATCTCCATGTATAATACATAAGGGGGGATATGATCAACATGTATAATACATAAGGGGGGGATATGATCTCCATGTATAATACATAAGGGGGGGATATAATCACCATGGGGGGATATATAATAATACATAAGGGGGGATATGATCACCATGTATAATACATAAGGGGGGATATGATCACCATGTATAATACATAAGGGGGGATATGATCTCCATGTATAATACATAAGGGGGGATATGATCTCCATGTATAATACATAAGGGGGATATGATCTCCATGTATAATACATAAGGGGGGATATGATCACCATGTATAATACATAAGGGGGGATATGATCTCCATGTATAATACATAAGGGGGGATATGATCACCATGTATAATACATAAGGGGGGATATAGGTAAAGTTGATCCAGGGAATATCTGATTGCCTCTATGGGGATCAGGAAGGAATTTTTTCCCAGCAGGAGGAAATTGGATTATACTTTGCTGGATTTGTTTTACCTTCCTCTGGATCAACTGTGGGTATAGGATTATAACTTTTTTTTTCTATGGTTGAACTGGATGGACTTTTGTCTTTTTTCAGCCATACTAACTATGTAACTATGCTGTTTAGTTTTTGCCACGGCATGTGTACATCTGCGTACATGGCTACATGTCACCATTCAGGCAGTCGGTCGGAGGGACGGTAAAATTGCAGCTGAACTACCCGGTTTTAATGTTACCCGGCCGCACATGTGAACGAGCCCTATAGGGCACCATGCAAAGTAGAATTTCTGGAGGCTCCCAAGCACATTCAATTTTTAGATACAATTTTAAATATAAAGTATTTTTTCCTTTACTATATATTTTATATCTGCTATAGGTCACCCAGTCAATGGTATCTCAGGGATCTGCAGTCACTAAAATCACTTTCGAAGGACATCAGCCCCCCATGGTATCCAAGGCAACTGCTAGCGAATGTCTGCCTAAACTTACACCAGCGGTGGCCAGTCTCCTTCCTGCTCTGCCGTTGTCGGAGAAGGCTTCTGTGGCTGATATCTTGAAGATGTCGATGATGGAAGCAGATATAGAGACCAACGTGGAACCTATGATCGTGGATAACACAAGCAAAGCTGCCCCAATTATCAAACCCATGCCAGTGTTAACTGAGGCAGCTATACCACCCCAGGTGCAAAGGCTATCTGCCCCAAGCACAGTGACTTGTACAGTACCTCCCCCGCCTAAATGTTTCCCTGCCCCAATTATTACAGCAACCACTTCTACTACCCTTCCTGTCCCCCTGCCACCGCCTCCCCCGCTGACGAGGAAAGTGGATGTTCCTGTGGCCAGCCAGATAATACAGATCCAGAATGTGCCACCAAAAAGGACGGAAGAAATTCCTTCTGAAATCATCATTCAGGTGAGCAAGTTCATTCCGATCGGCACAGATTTAATAAAGCTAAAGTACCTTAAAGCCGATCTCAAAGTTTCATTTGTCTTCAAATGGTTTGTTTTGGACTAATGTGGTCCAAACAAACTGTTTTTACTTCTCTAACAGTTGCAGTGGCTTTGTGCGCTGTATCAGCTTAACCACTTCAAGTCCAGACACTTTTACCCCCTTCCTGCCCAGGCCAATTTTCAGCTTTCAGCGCTATCACAGTTTGAATGACAATTGCACGGTCATGCAACACTGTACCCATATGAGTTTTTTTGAGACAGATGGTATTTGTGGTCACCACTGGGATTTCTAATACCACCAAAATAAAGCTTTATATTTTTTTTCTATATAAATCCAAAAATTTTGAAAAAAAGTATTTCTTATAAAATTTTGCAAATAATATTTCATCATAAATCTTGGCCAACATTGATTCAGTTATCTTTTTAGTAAAAAAAAAAAAAAAAAACTCAAATTCGTTTATAACCAAAAATTATTATTTCTAAAACAATTTTTTTTTACATTTTTAGTTATATTATTTGTTTTTTTTTTTTTGTTTACATACTGTACTACTTGTGGGGGCGATGAAGATTTTTTTTTATTTATTTATTTTTTTTATACACTGGCTGTAAAAGCAATCATTTCTCCTTCTCTCAGGCTGCATTCTTGCAGCCATTGAGAAATACTGTGTGAGCTGTGATTGGTCACAGCTTGTCACATGGTACAAGGCTGTTGTGAATAGCCTTGTACCATGTGACCTCTGTGATCATTCACAGATTTCACACGTAGTAAGCAATGATGTCAGAAGTGACATCTTGCTTACTACTCTGCATGTGATAACTGATTGGCCAATCAGTGATCACATGATCAGGTCCCCTACGACGATCGGTGTTCCACTGTGTCCGGAGGACACAGCGGGCACCGGATCGCGGTGCTGTGCGCTCCCAGGGAGCGCGCACAAGCAGGGGGCGGGGAGGCTGTTTATAAACTGCCACTCGCCCCTGAACTGGCCCTTAACCACCTCCCATCCGGCCGTTGTATATAAACGGCTGGACGGGAGGTGGTTAAAGGCCAGTTCACGCTATATGCGTTGAAAGATCATATGGAAAAAAACGTCTGACACCACAGGGACACACAGGAAATAATTGTTTCCTCTGTGTCCTATTCACACTGCAACACAGCCTAGCTCTGCACTTCAGCATGCTGCTGTTAAAATGTAGACATGCCGCATTTTAATGAAGCACACCAGACCGCAGATTCACCGCTCCAGCCCCTGTGTTGCTGGCTGCACAAGGGGGCAGTGTGGTGCACGATTCGGCGCATCACACGGCTCCCTTTTTTTTTTTTTTATGTTGTACGAGCTTTATTAGAAGTGTACAAAATGCACACTTCTTTCACTGCTATGTCAGGCAGCGCATTTTGTACACTTCAAATAAAACTCATGCAACACGAAAAAAGGGAGCCGTGTGATGCGCAGAATCGCGCACCACACGGCTCCCTTTTTTTTTTTTTTTTGTATGAGCTTTATTTGAAGTGTACAAAATACACACTTCATTCACTGCTATGTCAGGCAGTGCATTTTGTTTACTTCAAATAAAGCTCATACAACACAAAAAAAGAGCCATGTGATGCGCTGAATTGCGCACCACATTTCCCCCTTGTGCAGCTGACAGCACAGCGGCTGGAGCGGTGAATGATTCCTGCCTCTCTGTGTTGCAGTGTAAATTCACCTTATTTAGCATCAGCTACATACAATGTACTGTGCTGTCTTTCGGCAGCAGGATGAGCACTTCCTGTCCCACTCCTGGAACAATATCAAGTTGGGCTGAGTAATATTCAGCCATTCACATGAAGCTTAGTTTTAGATGAATAAATACAAAGCTTCATCTAATTGGCTGAGGCAGAGTTTGTGATGTCATCAGCCCACCTCTCTGCTATATTTACACTCGTGATACTACATTTTGGTCTGGACATCAAATAAGGGGTTGAGATAAAGACTGCAATAATGAATCAAAAATATAGGCTCATTGTAAATACACTAACCCTTTAACTATTTAGCGCCCGCCTACCATAGATATACTGTGGCGGAGTGGGCCCCACTGCACTGGATCACGTACATGTATGTGATCTGGCTCCTCCGGGTAGGAGGCGTGTGCACCTGCCAGCCCAGCTATGCTGCCATGCGCTCCAGCACATGCCGATCAGCAGGTCAATGGTTTATGGCCAGGACCCGCTGATTGGCTGAGCGAATGACAGGAGAGAGCCCTGTCTTGGTAAACAACACAGGGCTTGCTACAGACAGCAGTGATATCCCATGTTTCTTTTCTCCCTGCAAAGCAGGGAGTAAAAACAGGCACATTGTTTTGTGAAAGCACCACACATTAAAACCTTGTTCAGCACACATTGCCCCTAAATGTTAACCCCAAGAAAAAAATGTCACCAGCACACCGAGGATCCACCAATATGGGTCCAAAGGTTTTAATAAACCATCACATAGTTACAGCAAGGCAACTATGTGATGGTTTATTAAAACCTTTGGACCCATATTGGTGATCCTCGTGTGCTGGTGACATTTTTTTCTTGCTGATTTTGTTCGGTTCCAGCCGCTGGTCACTGCAGCACCCACTTATACAAAGAGCCATTTTTAACGCAGGAACGTGTGCGTTTGGATCATACACTTGCATTTAAATGTTAACCCCTTACCAGCTAGTGTCATTAGTGCAGTGACAGTGTATATTATTAGCACCGATCACTGTATTAGTGTCACTGGAGATGTCTGTGTCATTAAGTCAGTTCCCACCCAGTGTCAGATTTCCCGCCGCACTATCACAGTCCCACTAAGTCGCTGATCACATCCATTCCTAGCATTAAAAAACACAAAACTATTCCAGTATATATACCATAGTTTGTAGATGCTATAACTTTCACGCAAATCAATTCATATATGCTTTTTGTGAATTTTTTATTTATTTATTTTTATCAGAGAGCTGTAGCAGAATACATGTTGGCGTAAATTTATGACAATTTTTTTTTTTTTTATCGGATTTGTTTTATATAATAAACACATTCCACAAATCTTTATCTTGAAAATGAATCAGCCGTGTGACAACGCTGCTTAATATATGAATGCATGTTTTTATATTTCCAGACCATCCCTCAGTATCCCATCGCCTGTCACTCTAGCTCCAACGTGGTGGTGGAACCCAGTGGACTTCTAGAGCTGAATAATTTCACCAGCCAGCAATTGGGAGACGACGACGCTGTCATTATAAACGACAGTGACATTACCAGTGATGACAGGACACAGTGTAAGCCTTCAATAAATTTAGATCATGCATAGCAGTCCTAAGAACTCAGAATGGTCCTTATGCAAGGTGGCCACCAGGATTTGTTTTCAGACCAACTTATTGTGGAGTTTAGAAGTTGCTTCTCAAAAAAAAAAAAAACATGGATTTTCAGAATTCTCTCTCTCCAGTGTCATGTATGGTACTGATGTCATTTTATAACCGACAACCACCCATTTCCTGAGCACAGTATTCTTATTTAAGTCGCAAGAGCATTATTAAAGGTGTTGACCTTCTACAAGGTTCTTCATGGACATGGAGTCTTCAAATCATGGAACGATTTACAGGACCACTTTTTCATTTCAATGTTAAGGTGTGTGGTTTTTTTTTTTCAGGAAATCAAAACATTGAGCGTTCTAGCAGTTAAAAGTCCCTATTGGATGGAATTCATACGTCATTCTTTAGACTTCCGAAAACATGCATTTTCTGTAATTTTTGTAAAATATTTTTTTTTTGTCGAAAGCAAAATAGAAAGCTCTGCTTTCAGTTTTCACATGCACAGTGTGATTAATATTTGGTTATCTGAAATGAATGCTGCAATGTAGTGTGTTTATTTTTTTTTTTTAAGAGGACCTATTACATGGACATGGGTGGAAAATCTTGTGGGTCATACCATCACAGGGGAAAATGCAGCCTATTGATTCTCAATGAACAGGTGGTATAGCAGGGGTGCTCTGCACTTTGGTATTGTCACTCGTTTCTGCAGACTTTTCCATAACGTATGGATATTGGGAGTGAAAACCAAGAAACGGTGTAAATTCTACTTATTGTAAAAATTGCCAATGCTGGTACACTTTTTTTTTTTTTTTTTTTTTTACAAAATCGCTTACAGTTTTATCACGTGATTGTGTTTTAGGACATTTTAAATGATCCATTTATGGTTACCTAGCCATACTTAGACAGCCAATCAAGTGTCAGCATATACAGCTAGTAAATTTACAGCAGGACTTGGTGTATGCCAAAGTAAAAAAAAAAAAACTATACATATGCAGCACATCTGTACTTTGTATGAGGCACAGTGGATGAAGCTTTACACAAGGATGAGGATCTTTATTTTTCACCATGTGATTGCAATTTTCAAATTTCATTGGACTGAGCTGAAAATAGCCATCCTTTATTTAAGAAAAAAAAAAAAAAAAAAAAAAAAAAAAATCCATATCCTAGTATTCAGCGATCATAGCCCATATCACCGGTCACAAGCAGCCTGTGTCCTCCTGTATCCCTTGTATATCAACTGTATGCTCAAGCCCAGGAATCTGCTCACTGTCCACTGCACTCTACAATCCAATGAAATGTGTGGATACTGAAAACGTCTTGCTACAACACTAATCACCTGACCTCACACACCGAAAGCTCCCAGCGGAAATCATGCTGCTAATGCGTTTCACTGTCAGAGGGCTTAATCTTACCCTGTGCTGGGTGAAATGTGTTATTGTGTGGTTTCTGGCAGATGTTTTCAGTGTGTGCTGCCAGCCGATGTGTGGCCATAGCCTAGTGTCTTAGCTTTAAAAATTAATTCTATGCACATTTCTTCGTATTTTGTCTCTTTAAGAATGCTGCAAGTACCCGTTGATCATGCCAGAAATCTGACAATGCCCCTGCTGCACTGAAATCTCAAGCAGTGGTGTCAGGCCTACCCAGTTCTCTGTGTGGACTAGAGAACATGCCCCCCCCCATGTTATGGAGATAGGAACAGAATGTTCTGTATCCTCTCTAGCACATTTGTTTTGAAATGTTCTTCTAAAGAAGTAGACTGTACCATTCAAATTTTTCCCAGCAGCCAACTCAAAATGAACAAGCTGCCTGTAGTCTGACATACTGAAGCCACTTGGCTATCCAATTTCATTTCATAGACAGCAATGCCTGTTACTGTCCCCTTTTCATTGAATGCATTCATACAGGATGTGAACTCATTGATGACAATGTGAAACGCACCTCTCGTGTCCTAATTGTAATCCTAAAAACAGTCAGAGTACTTATGTAGTTTCTACGAAATACAGTACCTTTTTAGAGGGTTAGTTCACCTTTTGCAGAAAAAAAAAACCCGCCTCAGTTCCACAATCACAAAAGAGCGCACTCTTTCACCTTCAGAAAATATAATGGAAAAGCAAGCACTCTCTAATAAGCAGCTAGAGCACCAAAGGCAACCAATATAAAACCTTCAGAAACACATAATAAGTAAATAGGTGCAGTGCTAAAAAACACATTAATATTGTCCGTAAATATATATGCCAATAACGTGACAGTCTGTGCAGGTCTAGGTGCAAATAAGCAGTAGAATCCAAAGATAGTGCTCCAAATCGTGTGGTAAAATTACGCACTCACCAGATGCGTAAAGTATATACACATTAAATAACACTGTAGAGGTCCCCTTTAGGAGTTGGATAAGATCCTAATCCAGGATAAGCTGGATCCTGTACCTGCCCGTGAGGTCCTGGCAAGCACCACCTTACCTGGAGGGAGGATTATCCTGTATTAGGATTTTATCCAACTCCTAAAGGGGACCTCTACAGTGTTATTTAATGCGTATATACTTTACGCATCTGGTGAGTGCCTAATTTTACCACACAATTTGGAGCACTATCTTTGGATTCTACTGCTTATTTGCACCTAGACCTACACAGACTGTCACCTTCAGAAAACCTTTTGCCAGGGTGCCAAAATTTCATTGTGAGTCGCATCAGCCTTATTGCCCTGAAAGGGTTGGTTGTATCTGTAAGACTAGATGTCCAGAGCACCCCCCTTACATCAGATGTCAAGAGTCCCCCACTCACCCATACATCACAGTATACCCTCTTTACCTAGGTGCTGCTGTCAGGAAGAAGCTGGGGGCAAAGCTGGGAAGCAGATACTGAAGGAGGACCAGAGGAGGGCTGGAGTCACCTGCCGGAGTCTGCTGAATGCCGAGACCAGGGGAGGAGGAGACAAGGGGGTCCTGCGGCTGAACAGAGAGGTGCAGGACCTGTAGGAAGAGTTCTATCCTCTCAGCTGTCAACTGCGGTGGAGATGAGGGAGATGCTGCAACTGCAGGATAGGGGTGAGGAGCACATGAAATGGCTTGGCGGGCTGAATTCAACCAGTGGGCCTTGTGTATGACACATGTCTTATGCATATGCTCTTTCATATGTCGCAGAAGCTCTGAGCTCAGCTATGTGACAGCCGGGTAGGTGGCACATTGCACATGTGTGTGTTTAATTCCAAGAGACCACCTGCTCTTGTGCCGTTGGAGAAGAGCATCAATGCCTGGAGCATCAGCTGAAGTGGCATAGTGATGTCCTAGCAACAGGGAAGGAAGGGAACGCCGGCTATGGAATATTTTCAAGCAGGCTTTTTGGGGGGGGGGGAGTGAAAAAATGGCCTGCAGCCCTAGCAGGTATATTGTGCATAGCAGCACGGTTTGGTTTTATCTACTGGCATCTCTTAACTACCTAGGCAGGTTTTGTTTTTTTGCAAAGGCGATCTAACCCTTTAAATGCTAAAATAGCAGAAATCCACTTTCACTAATAGGACAAGTTTTGTGTGGCCATTGCTTCTTGTGTTCTGATTTTTTCCTCTTTTCCGGATGATTTAAGTTGGTGCTGATCTATGGATCCATCGCAGATACAGTGGGGAAATAATTTGATCCCCCGCAGATTTTTTAAGTTTGCCCACTTACAAAGAAATGAAGGGTCTGTAATTTTTATCATAGGTGTAGTTTAAATGATAGAGACAGAATATCAACCAAAAATCAAGGAAAAGCACATGATACAAATGTAGCAAATTGAGTTGCCGTTCAATAAGTAAAATAAGTATTTGATCCCCAAGCAAAACATGACTTAGTATGTGGTGGAGAAACCCTTGTTGGCAAGCACAGAGGTAAGACGTTCCTTGTAGTTGGTAACCAGGTTTGCACGCATCTCAGGATGGATTTTGGTCCACTCTTCTTTACAGATCTTCTCTAAATTGTTAAGGTTTCTTGGCTGTCCCTTGGCAACTAGAAGTTTCAGCTCCCTCTATAAATTATATATAGGATTAAGGTCTGGAGACTGGCTAGGCCACTCCATATCCTTAATTTGCTTCTTCTTCAGCCACTCCTTTGTTGCCTTGGCAGTATGTTTTGGGTCAATGTCATGCTGGAAGACCCATCCACAGTATTCTGGCTGAGGGAAGAAGGTTCTCTCATCCAAGATTTTACAAAACATGGCCCCGTTCATTGGCCCCTCAATGCGGCAAAGTCAGCCTGTACCTTTAGCAGAAAAACAGCCCCAAAGCATAATGTTTCCACCTGCTTGACTGTAGGGATGGCGTTTTTAGGGTCATAGTCAGCATTTTTCTTCCTCCAAACACAGCGAGTCGAGTTAATGCCAAAGAGCTCAATTTTGGTCTCATCTGACCCCAGCACTTTCTCCCAATCCTTCTCTGAATTATTTAGATGTTCATTGGCAAACAATGTAAATGTGCCTTCTTGAGGAGGGGGACCTTGCGAGTGCTGCAGGATTTCAATCTATGGTGGTGTGTTGTGTTACAAATTATTTGTTTGGTGACTGTGGTCCCAACTGCCTGGAGATCATTTACAATCTCCTTCCGTGTAGTTCTGGGCTGATCCCTCACTTTTCTCATGATCACCCTTACCCGATGAGGTGAAATCTTGCATGGAGCTCCAGACTGAGGGCGATTGATGTTTATTTTGTATTTCTTCCATTAGAGCAGTGGTTCTCAACCTTCCTAATGCCGCGACCCTTTAATACAGTTCCTCATGTTGTTTTGACCCCCAACCATAAAATTATTTTCGCTGCTACTTCATAACTGCAGCAGCTAGCTCTTCTCATTCCCGCTATACAAAGTGTCACACCTCCCCCATCCCCACCACACAGAGCTGCCAGCTCTCTTCACACACGGCCCGCTCTCACCTCCTCACTGACGCCATCTTGGATCCGCTCTCCCCCCTCTTCCACCCAGTCCCCAACTAGCTGGCACCCTGACAGGCCACGCCCAATCTGAGGACATCAAAACTTCT